TTCAAATCCTTTTTTTCAGTTTCAGTTTGTAGTTTTATTTTGACAGCATAGATTCTGTTTTTGTTCTGATTTTCCTCTGAATCCTCCAGACGACTCCGACGACGACGAGCCGCTGACCAAGAAGAAGAAACCAGCAGCGAAAGACAAAAAGGAAACTTCTCCTCCCAAGTCCGACGAGTCAGAGGACAGAAACTCTGGTGATCCTTCACACATCCTCGTGTCTCTGCAGCTCAGCTCCCTCAGGCTGCTGTGGATATTTATTTGTCTTTTGTTTCCTCAGATTCAAACGCAGCTGGCGACTCTGACTACGATCATCAGGTGAAAACATCCAAACCTCCAGCCAGATCAGCGAAGAAGAAGCAAACCCCTGGAAGGAAGAACAAACCAGCGGGCAGGAAGAAGAAAGGTGGGATTACTTTCCATCTTTCTGGTTATTTTCTCATCCTGGTGAATGAAACGGTGAGATAAAACGCAGCGGTTGTTTTATTTTCTCCACAGCGCCGTCAGAGCGCGACGAAAGCTCCGACGACGAGCCGTTAAGCAAAGTTGCTCAGAAACTTCCTGCGAAGAGGAAGAGGAAACCCGTCCAGCTGTTCTCTAAATCCTCTCCGGTTGTGAAATCCAAGAGGAACGCCTCCAGGAAGAGCGGTGAGTCCAAATCTGCCTTTCCAAAAAGTTTCTCTTCCTCATTTAAACAATCAAATTCAGCTTCAAATCTTTTTCTCGGTTTTAAAAGTTTTTCTTTTTTAGGTTTCAGATCTTTTTTTGTTTCAATATTTTATCCTGTTTGAAATCTTTTTTTAGTTTGAAATCATTTTCAGTCTCAAATTTCTTTTCCTGTTTTTTTATTTTTATTTTAAATCTTTTTATTGGTTTCAAATCTTTTTTTCTTCAGTTTCTGATCTTTACTTTCAGTTTTAAATATCAACTCTTCCTCTTTAAAAATGCTTTCCTCTTAATTTAAACCAATAAATTCACTTCGTTTTAACTTGTTTTTAAGTGAACTACGCTGAGACGTCGAGTGAGCACAGCTCTGATGACGAGCGGCTGCTTGTGACGAAGACGACGACAAACGATTCATCCAGGAGAGCGACGGCTTCCCAACGAAAATCCCTAAAAGGTGATCCGGTTGCCGGTCCGATTCCCTCTGCGATCAGTTCAGCCGCTAAGCTGCCGGTTTGATTTTTAGACGCTTCGTCTTCCGACGACGACGGCTCTCCCCAACGGAAACCGGGTCGGAAATCCACGAAGAGCAAGAGGCTGCGAGGAAGACCGACGAAGAAGGCCTCAGGTTCTGCAGCAGCAGATGCAGGCTGATCGCTGCCAATCACTCGTTTTAACGTTTGCTGCTTCTCCCTGGCAGGAAACTGGGATGATGACGACAGCTCAGATGACGAAGCTGCGGCGAATCGCTCCAACCGGAGAACAAAGAGCAGAACAAAAGCTTCGACCGGGAAACGGAGGAATCAGAAGCAGAAAACATGGAAAGGTAAAAACAGAGTTTCACTGTTGCAGCTTTTATTTTACTGACGCTGGAAATTATCCCAGATTTTAAGACAAAATGTGGCACCAAAGGCTGGAAAAGTCCAGCTTCAGTCACCAGTAATGAAGTCATTTCAGAAAAACGCATTATGTTTGTACCTGCAGTCTAATAAAAATAGCACAATTTTATGGAGCTAAATTGGAGCCATAATTTTCATTCAAAATCAAATTGGATCTGAAAAAGATTTTGAATCAATTTGATCTTTTTTTTTTGTTTTTGTTTGAAATCTTTTGTTTTCAGCTTCAAATGTTTTTTTTCTCTTTCAAATCTATTTTTCTCTTTTAAATATTTTGTTTTGTTAATTTTTCTTCCTGATTTTTTTGTTTTACATTTTTTTCAAATGCTTTGATTTTTTTAAGGTTTAAAAATCATATTTTTAGTTCTTTTCGGTTTTAATCTTTTTTTTTATTTTTAAATGTTTTTATTTTCAGTTTTTGTTTCCTATGCTTTCTTTATATTCAAACATTTTTAAGGCTTCAAGGATTTTTCCAGTTGAAAATCTTTTTTTTTTGTTCAAATCTTTTTTCACTTCATTTTATTATCAGAAACAGTTTCATGTTTTTAATGTTTGTTTTTTTTCATTAAAAATATTTTATTTGTCACTGAAATTGTTCCTGTTTCCAGAAAACATGTTTTGAAGAAACAGTTTATCTGCACACCATGTGATCAAACTGTGCTACATTTTTCTGACACCACAGTTTAGGTCAGTTAGAAAGCAGCAGATTGAACTGAATGGTGACTTCAATGCTTTTCCTCGTTCTGAGAAAGCACGCGGTGACAGTGGAGAGAGACAACTGGAGAAGAATCCTCCAATGGCTCCAGATCAGCATGAGCGGCCACCGGCTGATGGAAAGAAGGAACCAGGTGTACTTTCTATAGAGGAACAACAGAGAATAAAGCTAGAAGCTGAAATAACAACAAATAATGCAAAGTGGAGAGTAGTAGGAGAAAGTAGCAGGGCTGGAAGCCCACACAGCTACAGAGATAGCTCAGGTATTTCAGGTAAATAAAGTTTTAGGCCCAAGCGCTCGACCATGTGGTACTCCAATGTGTGTATAGAAAAATCGTTTGTAGCTAACAGACCTGGAGTTTGTAGCTTCCTGGTCATGGTGGTGTTTTTGTTTCAGACGTACCGAGCAGCATTACAGACGAGGAGGCTGCCATCCGAACAGCCAAACACACAGAAGTGACCAGAAAGGTGAAAGTCGCTCTGCAGAGGTGTGACGGCGAAGACAAAGAGTCCGCTGCAGCCGCCGCCACTAAACCCACAACAGGTGAATCTTCACGCCGTCCGCTGTTAAACCTGCAGCGATCTAACGAGGGCGCTAACGGTTTGGTTTTTTCTCCACAGAAGAAGAAGAGACCGAAGAAAAGTCGACAGCAGAAAACCCAGAAAAATCCTCTGAGGAGGAATAAGAGACAAAACTTTCCTTGAAAACTAGTTAGTCCTGAATTCATCTGTAGGCTTTTATACATTTTGTTTCACGTTTTTTAGGTTGGGGATCAACTTTTCCAGGTTCCTGAAATGAATTTTGTTTTCTCATTTGTGGCTGTTTGCCTGAAGTTCTTCTTCTGGTTTTTAGAAAATGTTTTTAACCGTGTTGTGAGTCGTCGTCCACTCTGCATGCAGGTACACACACCTAGTTTTAGGATTTTCATTTTATATCAGTAGAAAATTAGGTGGAATCCCTCTTTTAGTGTCATAATAAAATTATTTAACCACCTCCTATGAAAAATGATTCCCAAAATATTTCAAGTTTAGGGAAGGAAATTGGATTTCTAAAACTTTTTTTTATACTTTAAAAGATCTCTGGCAGTGTGAGTTATTGAATTATGTGATGTTTTGGGCGTAAATGAGTTAAAAATGGGTTTTCTCTCTTTTTTGGAGGAGAAATGATGGCATTGTTGGAAATTATAACTTTGTTTTTATTTTGTTTTTCACAATAATCTTCTGAGGTATGCTATAATATTTGTCCCGTTTAAGAAAGATGTTTCATGTTTAAAATATACCTAGTGGTGTGTTCCTTGATGTTCAAATGTGCAGGTTTTATGTATGTTAATATTAAAATTTGCTACATTATTTGAAAATTAGTCTTTATTAATTTTCAATTACAAGAATTAAAAAAAATATTTGGAATGATTTTTACAGATAAATGCCACTGCAGTGTTATGAAAACAAGGCGCACTCATTGTTTGCATGGTATAATTATGTATCTTAATGTTGACTTGAGTTATCTATTTGTGATTTTATTTATTGTTAAGTCAAATAATTGATATTCCTCTGCTGCCAGACATTTACACTAATCACCGGTATAATAATTTTGGATGGGAAAAAAAAAATCCAGAATTTACTAATTTGCACAGAAAATCAAAATATTTTACAAAATGGAGTTTTTGTTGAACTATTAGATCCTTAAATATCGATAAGGGATCAGAAATTCATTAAAATTACTTTTCAGAGAGGAAATATATTTTTAAAAAAAGCAAGAATTAAACTATTACGAACATAAATATGAAATTAAATAAATACTTGAGTGAAATTAGCCTTTACGTGTCCACGTACTGAGCAGTTAGACGTAATAATGTGGGATGTAGTGACCCCTAGCGGCGCAGCTTGGACTTCACGAGCGATTTTCGTCTTTTTAATCCATAAAATATATATTTTTAAGGAAAATAAGTAAATTTTATTATTTTTAAGTATTGGGTTTTAACTTTAAAGACCTGTGGGGAACTTAAATCGTTAAGTTTATTGTAGGATTTAGTGTACTTTCTCCATGTTTTCCTCTCCATGGATTTGAGAAGTGAGGTCTGTTTCCGCTCTGAAACCACGTCCGCATTTCATGCTGCTGGTTTTGGCTTTGTGGTCGAACTGGTCTGGATCGGATATGACGTCAGCAGTTTCGGTTTCGTCCCACTGTCAAGTCGCCCAGGATCGGAGCAATGAAGTAAAGAGAAGTAAAATTTACAGTAAGTTTCACCTTCTCCAGATGTTTTTAGCTGTCAGTCTGAATGCTAAAGCTGCTATCCATCAGACTGAATTACACAGGAATAAATATCACGGTCTGTTTGTCACGTCTGTGGGAAATGTTTTTATGTGTTTATTGTGTCTATAGATATGCATAACATTTTTAATTCCTATATTTAAGGTTCTTGTTGGTCGGTTTCTGAGTTTGGGTCCAGAAAGAACCAAACACACACACAGCTGACAGGAAGTTTCACTTTCGTTGACTCGTTCAGACTGAAGGAAATAAACGAAACATGTTGATATAAAATATGAGAAAAGTCAAAAACAGAAGCTGAGAGTGAAAAGCAAGTTATTATCTCTGCTTCTGCAGGGATTAATTGCCTGGTCACGTGATCACCTCAGTTTGTTCAGGTGTGTGTGTGTGTGTGTGTGTGTGTGTGTGTATGTTATGCTTTAAGAAAAACCACAAATAAAGAAACTTCTGCACCAAAAGTGGTGGAAATGAAATTAATACGGGGTTCCAAGTGGGACAAAATTCCCAGATCACGTCCTGATCCTGAAAAGTGATCAGATTTATCTGATCACTGCCATTGATTCATAGATTTCATCTCTGAGAAAATGAAAAGTTGTCCTGCAGAACCAGAACAACATGACGAAGCAGGTTCAAAGTTCGTTAATTATCTCCAGGATTGCAGCTGGGAGGGAACCACTCAGTTTATTTTCCCTGAGTTAAACTTTAGATGGGTCTTATGGGGCTGTAGCCCAGGGACAATAGAATCAATAGAATAATCAGTTAGTCATCAGAATACTCAATATCATATTCGTTTTATCATTAGGATAATCAATTAATCATTAAAATAATCAATTAAAATTAATCGGCAGAATAATAAACAAAAATTGATAAATCAGCAGAGTAATCAACTGCACAAGCGATTAATCTATAGGATAGTCAATCAATCATCAGGATAATTGATTATTAAACTAATCGTTAGTTGCAGCCATGAACGTCGTTAATTTTTTTTTTGCTTGTTTCTGTAGATGGATTTCCCGGTGGAGGCCACGGTTCACATCGACCGGTTCCAGGATGAGCGGGAGGTCCGGCGGCTCCTCCAGTCGTACGGCTTTAAGGTGACGGATCTGGGCCCAGGTCGGGTCCAGGTAGCGGGTTTGTTCCATAACCTCGAAGCAGTGAAGGCCCATTTGGAGCGGCTCACTGAGGCAACGCCGCGCTCCTCCTCGGATCTGCCGTCCGCTTCGTCCGGAGCGATTTCAAAGCACAGCAGGAATAACGCAGATCCAGGTTCCACACAGAGACGTTCAGCCTCTCTGGGGCCCAGAACTTCCTCTGGTCCAAAGCACCAGGCGCCAGATTACCGGACTCCAGGCGCGGTGATTATGATCGACTCTGATGTCTACATGTACGCCAAGCGGTTCAGGAAACAGCAGCTGGACGACCTCCTGACCCGGCAAGACGTCCAACATGAGGTGAAGGCAGAGGAAGAAAACACCATCATCAACCTGCAGGGTCCAGACTCCGGGTCGGTGTCCAGAAACCTGCAGCTGCTCCTGGAAGGCCTGCGCAGAACCCTCCGGACCCAGGAAGTCCTTCTGTCGGACCTCAGCGCCGAAGGAAAACGCCTTCTAGGCAGAATCCGAGAAAACAACAACTCCTTGAATTCAGTTCTGGTGTTTGAGAAGAACGACAGACTCCATCTGGTCGGCCCGTCCAAAGAGAGCTACGACCTGAAGCAGAGTCTTCAGGGGGGCCCAGTAGACCAATCAGGAGCCAGAGGACAGCCGGCCGATCGGCCCAGGAGAGAGAGGAGCCGATCGGTGCCAACCAGGAGTCAGAGGAGTCCAGCGGCTGACGGGGAGGTTTCCTCATGGAGGGGCGGCGGACAGGAAGCGCCAAGAGGACGAAGCCTGTCGGAGTCCCGCGCAAAACGGGAAGAAGAAAAACTCGGAAGAAAAGACAATCATGTTCAGACTGCAGAAGGCCGAAACAGAGGCGGAATAATTCAGTCTTTGAGAAAAACTGTAGCAGGTTTGTTTAAAAAAAAGAAGAAAAAGGACAAATAATCATTTCTACAAATACCCGAATCACTGCACTGAAATAATCCCAATTCACATTTCAGGATTAATTATGAGCTTAAATATCCTGAAACTGGCTGTAATAAGACATGAAATGAATGTAGCTGAGATTAAACTGCAGGAATCAAAGTTTGATCAGTTTTTAAAATAATTTTAGGGCTGCAACTAACTATTATTTTAGTAATCGATTATTCTAACAATTAATCGGATAAACAAAATGCACAAACTTTTTACCTTTTTTATACAACATAAGAAATTCATTAAAAGATGCAAATAAACAACTAATTAAATTCTTTTTTCAGAACCAGGAGGAGCTAAAACTACTTCAGTTATGGGTGAAAAAAGAAGGTTTTTCATCTTAAATGCAAAATTTATAAAAAATTTTTGTTTGGTTTTGGCTTAATTTCTGCTCTGACTCTGTTGTTTCAGGAAAAGTCCTTTTTAACTGTAGTTAATGATTAATCAGATGCTAAATTAGTTTACCATAATTTCAATATTTGATTAATTATGATTAATTGATTAATCGTTTCAGCCCTAAATGATTTTTTCTAAAACTTATTTGGAATTTCTTATATCTATTTTAAATCTTAAGCACAAATCCAACAACAGCCCAGGATAAAGGAGAGTTTTAACGAAATGAAGGAATTTATTCGTATAAAGTTTGAAGATCTTTGTCATTTCTGTTGTTTCGTAACAGAATATTTGCACTAACATGGTTTAAAACACTGAGACTGTAAAACACTGGAAGGAGTCCCTGTGAATGTTTGGATGTGAAATAAAACAGATTTCCTCTGATTGCCTCTGACGTCGTTAATGTTGCTGCAACACCTGAGTGTGACTCGGTGACGTGCCGGAGCGCCATGCGGGGAAGCGGGAAGAGGAAGCGACCCAGAGGAAGTTTGAATGGAGGATCTGAAAGGCAGATGAGGTTACACAACGGCCGCTCGTTTCACTGAAAGCACCGTCTGGTTCCCGAGGAGCACCGCGAATCGCCGGTAACGAGATGGACGCTGCGGAGGCGGTAGGTGTCCTTCAGTCTGTCAGAACCGTTCGGGTTCGGTTCGTCTGAGTCGGCAGAACTCGGGCAGTTCAGAACTCAGACAAACTGAACCGCTTCAGTTCGTCTGATTCACAGCAAGTCTGACTAATCTGAGCCAAAAGTTCAACCTGGATCACGCAGAAGAAACATTTTCATCTTTTTATAATCGTTTTATTACGTTTTTACTGTATTTGCAACAATCCACGGGTCATTTCTGGGTTGTTTATTATTGTCATTAAGGTCTTGCCATATACAGTTATTGTCACTAGAGTCTTCCCATATTTCTTCATTCCTTTGTGTTTAGTTTCTTCTAGGCTTTTCCATTTTTTTTATTTTTAAATCTGTTTCTAAGTTTACCTCCATCTGTTTTCTGGCTGCACAGCGAGCAAATCCGACCCAAATCCGATTTTATTTTACCGATATCCGATGTTTTCACAGCATCCCGAACGATCCAGTTCTGATTGGATCCAGCCCAGTTTTGAGTTTGGATTATTTTAGGTGAAAATAAATTTGATTTTCGAAGCGTCTGAACGGTTTGTTGACTTTTTCTGTCGTTAATGTGAGACATTCAGCTGCTAGATGTTCTTTCTTCTTTCTTAATCCTAATCCACACATAACTGGAGATTTAAGTTGGCTTAATATCACTAAAAATGATTGTTTATATATATTAATGCTGAACAAAGTGAAGATTTCAGTGCTTAGTTTTCAGTCACAGGTTATTTTTTGGTTAGAAATTGATTAATTTGCTGAAATATTCCTAGAAAAGATAGACTGCCATCCTGAAACTTCCTGAATATTTTCCTGGAAAATATAAGTTAAAGTTTTCTAAAACTTCCAGGGTATTTGGTTTATCACTTAAACAATATCTTTATTGATGTAATCCATTTAACTCAAACCAATATTACTTGATTAATCCTAAATTTCAGATGCTAAAACATACTTGAACAATGTTTTTATATAATTTGTAAATATTTCAACATTCATGTCTTCTTGTATCCACCAGAGGGCGCTGCAGTCTAACTTTCCTCCTGTTAAAGTTGTTTCTGACATATTTTAGTTCAGATTTGGAGCTGAAGGGTCAGCGGTGCCTTCCCAGTAGATAAATATTCTCCTCCCAGGATCATCTGAAGGTCAAACAGTCAGATTTTTGCCTGAATCCGGTTTAATCTGAAGTTCTCCTCTTTAAAAGCTCAACCCTGGAAAATCCCAGATCTGAATCTCTTGCAGCATCGCTCCTGTCTGGTCTTGAAGAGACGAGAACGAACTGCAGAGACATGTTGGACCTGCAAAGACCGAGACGTAGAGGAGATAAACTGGAGCTCAGACCCATAATCAGTTCATCTATGAAGGGATGAACTTCATCCCGTTGGGCCTCTCGATGTTTATCAGGTTTCCTCCATTGCCAAATTACTGAAGGCTTGAAACTGGAAATCTTGTTTTAGTTCTTTAAGTTTTTATTTTCCAATAAAATCAACTTTAGAAAATCAACATCCACATTTTTACCAACCTGATTTGTTTGTAAATAATGTTGGTTTCAAACAGAAACCACCAGGGAGAATCGCCAGGCTCAGAATGGAAAGGCAGCTAGCAGCTCTGCAGACCCCACACATGCTGGACATGCTGTGCTCAAAGTTTCTTATTTAGTTTCTGGAGGGAAACTAAATAAGGATATTCATCCTAACTTTTTGTTTAAAAGTATTAATTAATTATTAAATTATTAATCTGACTGACCCAAATAAATAAATATTTTTTATAATTTAATTTGGGAAAAAATAAAGAAATAAAAAAAGAAGCTGACTGAGTCAAGTTGTACAAATTAAACATTATTCCAATAAATGCTTAAAGTCTGTAGAAAGTGATGGAAAAATTCACTTATTTTATTATTTTATAATAACTTTGGTACTGAGCTAAAACAGAAACGTTTCTAATGGTTTAATGTGAGAATAAATGCTGATGGGTCTGAATTTTTCGTGGTTTGACTCGAACTCTGACCCACCAGTTCTTGTAAAGGATGAACCCGCCTATATTAACATTTCCTTTCTGGTCATGAGAAACCGTATCTGTGGCATCAGGACCCGCCCAGCCCGGCTCTGCTCTGACTCACACACTTCTGGAGCAAAAATTCAACATATTTATTCCAAGAAATCACTCAAATAAGAGTAAAAACATATTTGGTAAAAAGTGCAGAGTACCTGATCAAAATAAAAATCACACAATCAGTAAAAGCTAAGAGGAAATGTTATTTCAAGGATGAAAATTACAATTATTCATATAAGTAACAAAAAAAAACATTAAAATGTTTCCAAATCAGTTTTTTTTTTCCATATAAAACTTAACAAAAGCTGCAGGTGTGTGTCTGTGTTTGGTGAATTTTTGGTTAAAACATGTTTGGTTTCCATTCAGTGGGTAGAAAATTCAGAAATTTTACACAAGAGTAGAGATACTTGATAATAAAAGTACAGCAAAGTAAAAATACTCCTCAAAGTACATTTGTTGAGAAGGTAAATGTGGTTAGTTGGATGTAATCTCTGGTTTCTCTGGATGAAACTCATCGGTTTGACTTTGTGGAAGTTTGAGTGAAGGTTTGACAGGAAGCGAGTCGGAGGAGGATGAGAGCGTTTATAGACAGACTGCAGCTCTCGCTGCGTTGCTGCCTGACAGCGTGACGTGTTTCAGCCTGCAGGCCGCAGCCGCGCAGCGTTCAGACAGTCTGACGCCACGCCTACAGCCGCCTCAGCCGGGACCCAGAAGTCAAACTCACTTCTCTTTCTGCTTCCTCGAAGCCGCTCTCTTGCTGCCTCTCCCTGAGTTTCCCCTCTGTGTGTGTGTGTGTTTGTTTCTTCTGGTGTGTTTGAGGAGCGCAGGCAGGGATGGCGGAGCTGGAGGGGCTGGAGTTTGGGAAGTCGGACTTTGTGCTGCTGGATGAGGTGACGATGGAGCAGTTCATGGAGAACCTGAAGCTGAGGTGAGAACGTCAGATGTCAAAGGTGACGCCTGACTCTGAAATTAAAATTAATTCTCTATTTTTAAGTAAATTGGTTAAAATGATCAAACCTGTTGGTCTTACCGGCACAGGTGGAGGCCTGAGAGTCATTTCTGGGTTTTTGTCAGAGTCTGAGTGACGTCTGCTTCTTGTTTCCCGCTCCGTTTGTAAATCTTCACCTCTCAGCTGAAGCCTCTGAATGGATATTTTTAGCCCTGATATTCTGTCTGGCTTTCTGTATTTTACCAGGTTAATATCTCAGTTTCTGCTGTTTTTAAACTGGATGCATGCAGCCTCACTGTTTGCATGTTTTGTTTTGAACAGCTGGTTCAGTTAAAGTACCTGGAAACCTTCATTTAGTTACTTTTACCCACTTTAAACATGCTATGAAATTATATTTTGATGAAAATTTTCACTTATTTTGCTGTAATTCAGAGTTTTGCCAAATTAATAACAATTAATAATACCTAAACTCTAAATTTACCCCTCCGTTAGCTTCAGAGGAGCCATTTTAAACCATAAAGTTTGTTATTTTTGTAACAAAATAATAATAATGTAAAGCAGATATTCTAGACCAAATTAAGAAGATATTTATCTGTAAAAGAATTGGCGCTAAAATGTGAAAAAGCATCAACCAGGGATGCTTGCAGGTCGAGGGGACCGTACAAAATCTGTCAGAGGGCCAGAAATGGCCCCCAGGCCGCAGTTTGGACACCCCTGTTCTTTACTATTGCTGCTTATGGCGGCAGCAGATTTTTATCCATCATGTTTTTTGGTTAAACTCTTCAACTGGCTGGATTTTTGCTCCCATTTTCAACCAGTTGCTGTGATGCGTAACCATGGCAACAAGTTATTGTTGTCACAACCAGGAGCAGCTGATTAGCATCTCAAAAACTCGAATAGCGGCTAACCTACGACTTTGAGGTGTTGAAAATGAGGCTGAATGGATGCAGACAGGAAGTTGAGAGCTTCTCTTCTATCCATCACAACAGGAAACAGGAAGTCTTTGGGAAACAAAATGGATGAACTTCAAAAATTCACCCAGACAGAGTTTTACCTGCATTACATCAGTCAAAGGAACTGCAGGATCTTATCGTCTCCTCTAACATCTCTGCCCAACTTTTAAACCAAACAGCCAGACGGATTTAAAGAGGAGTGGCAAAAGCAAAACGCAGACAATGTGGATTAGCAGAACCAGCTAACAGCTGATGTCGACATCCAGGACATGTTTCTGTGGGATATCGTCTCCGCTGGACTCACACTGAGCTGCTAGCATGTGATGGTCATTAGACTTTTATACAGCTGCTGTCTTCAGTCAGATGCCTCTTTAGAACCGCTGCAAGGCTGACTGCTACTGGAATCCTTCCTTTAACCTAGCAGTACCTGTTCTGAAGAGGCGGCCGGGTTCTGCTGGGTTCTGCTGAGTAGTTCTAGTCAGGATGAGCAGCAAAATGAACAAACTGGGAAAAACAGACAGGATTTTCCAGTGTTTTCTGTTCATGATGTAGTTTTATCACTGAACAGAAGAAGCATGGAGGAAAATAATCAGAGTTTTGAACATCAGATCTTTTCTTCTCACTTCGAGGAAACTGACTTTTACTCTGTGTTTGAATCTGGGGGAGTTTGGTTCTTTATTTTTCCAGATTTCTTTCATTTTCAAAATGATTTTCGTTCTCGTTTCTGCATTGGTCGGTTCTCCATGGTGTTCTTCCTTCCTCAGGGCTATTCCCCTGCGTTGACCAGATGATCAGAGGATCTGTGAAGTATTGATGTTTAGTTAAAATACAGCTTTACAACTGGGACTTAACACTTTATACCATTACTTTGCCCTGTAACCTTAACCCCAACACGTTATTTACTGACCTGTTGGTCATTTATAAGACAGACCAACACAAACTTGCTTTATTTTCCAAGTGGAAGAATAATAACACGTAGTTTTAAAACATAGTTTTCAACGTGTTTTGCAAATGACTTTTTTTATGATCCTTTTCTCTGATTCCCCTAAATAAAGTTCAACCAAAACTGTAAAAACTCAAAATCTTAACAAGTATTTTTACACTCAAACTAAGACAAAACTAACTTGCATGTAGCTTGTCAGCAACATTTAGGAGCTTGTTTTAAGTAAATAATTCCTTAATATCTATAAAAAGTATTTGCTCCATTTGCAGTTTATATCACTTACTGTACAGGAAAATAATCTGCAAAATAATCTGCCAATGTAATAAGTAATTCTTCATCAACATTAAGGAATTATTGGCTTAAATAAATCACCTATTTTCTGCTGAAAAGTTCCCTCTAGGTTAGTTTTATTTTATTCCAAATGTAATAAGATATTTGTACTAGACATAAACACTTGGTGAGATTTGGTGTTGTTGCCGTGAATTACTTTTGTAGCTCATCAGATTAGTGTCACCTACTTTAGTTGGGTGTTAGAATGGCCTAGTCAAAGTTCACACCTAAATCTGTTGGGCATCTGGGGCAACTTGTGGAAAATATGTTAAAAAATTAATTTTTCAACTTAAAACTATATCAGCAATATTAGAGGCAATTCAAAGCAAGTATTTAATAAGAAAACAAAAAACTGTTATATCTACTTAAAAACATCACAGCATGACAGATAAACCTGACGATGATTTATTTCATTATCAGTTCACTTGACAATGTTCAGATACCGGAAGCTTTAATAATCACACCGTTTGTCAGAAATGCATCAAAGTTCTCGCAGATATTTTGGCTTTTTGAATTAATTTAGCTCCTTAAGCTCCTCTTCAGCCTGCAGAGTTAGCAGAGCAACAGAAAAGTCAGATATTGTGTCATTGGTGGTTTATTCGTAGTTTGTTCCTCACAGCTCAACAAACCCACAGTGAGCTGTGACTCTTTTCACACCGTGGCTTTCGTTTCCTGTCACTGGTGTACAAATACTTGTGTCACTTCCTGTCATCTTTGCATGACATCAAGGTGTGTGATGTTCTGTGGAGCGTTCCTGGTGGGCGGTGGGACCGAAGGCACGGAGGAAGTGAATGTTTGATTAGAAGGGAAACCAGCAGGTGTGTCGCTGTTCATGAGGAGAGGATTACAGATTAACAGACGTGGTTTTTTCTCACTGTCTGAAGTTAAATCAGATCAAACTTTTCTTATGTTTGGTTAGTTAAAATGACTATGCCTGCATAGAGCAATGCTAGCATAGCCTATATATTTAGCATTCTGATTCACACCCCATTCCAGTAGATGGCAGTAATGGACATCTAAACGTTGTTTACTAACCGCCAGAAAAAAGAAGAAGCTTATATTTTATTATTTTTATTTCCTTATATTATGTCTATGGCTAGCATAGCCTGCCACGAATACGGCAGATAAACTGTTTTCCTTTTAGCAGCGAGTACGCGAGGATGTGCTTAAAACATATTTTCTTCATTTTAAATAATTTGAACCAGGTAAAGCTAAGACTGTAACGAGGCTTTTTGGGTAGAACAGATATACAGACAGAAGTTTTTTGTTTTTTTTTTTTATCTTAAATGCAATATGTTTGTATCTTTTGTACTGTTTTGGCTGAATTACTGCTCTGACTATGTTATTATTTTAGCAAATAGCCTTTTTTGAGTCTAAACCTCAGTTAACTTAATTTAACTGCTAAATTAGTTCATTACTGTCAAAGGTGGCAAAGAACACAAAATTTTACTCAGGTAAGAGTAGAGATACTTATTAATAAAATTACTGAAGTAAAAGTAAAAAGTACATTGTAGTAAAAAATACTCCTAAAAGTAAATTGCTTCAAAAAAGTTACTCTAGTAACTGTAACTAGTTACTACTTAACTCTGATGATTAATCTCAATAATCAGTCCTAGTTATTTGCCGGTTAGCCTATCAGAAGGTTCTGAAGCCATGACATCATCAGCTGGGCTTCCCGCTGCCATTTAAAGAGACAGTAACCGTGTTTTGGTCTGCGGCGGCTCAGGTTCGAGAAGGGCCGGATCTACACCTACATCGGGGAAGTGGTCGTGTCCGTCAACCCATACAGACAGATGGATATCTACGGCAAAGACGCCATCGACGCGTACCGCGGCCGGGAGCTGTACGAAAACCCGCCGCACCTGTACGCCGTGTCCGACGCCGCCTACAAGGCCATGAAGAGGCGGGCCAAAGACACCTGCATCGTCATCTCAGGTATTCCTGCAAACCCGCTGCACACACGTCAACGCTTCCAGCCCCGAATTACATCTCTACAGCGAAAAAAAAAATAAATTCAATGTCATATTATAACTTTTTGATATAGAAAACTAGAGTTGGAAATTTATCGTATTTTTTTAGGGTGTTTGTTTATTTATTTTTTTAACTTTAATTTCACCTAAAATTATCTAATCTTGGGCAATCGTTTACAAATTAGGCAAAATTTACGTTTCAAAATGTAATTTCTTTTTACAATAAAAAAAATATTTTTGCAAAAAAATATTATTTTTTGCACTGTGGATCGACATCATCAATTTGAAAAAAAATTATAGGCCACATTTTTTCCATTTAAAAACTGTCAATATTTTCATACAGCAAAGTAGAAAAGAACAATTTATTGCAGGTTCTTTAATAGGAGAAGCTACAATAATTAACAAAATATAAAGCAGAAAGTCAGAAACTTTCTGTTTCTAACTTTCTGTTTTTCATTTTGTTAGTTTAGAAAATGTTTTAAATCTCAGCAACAAAAAATGAGGCATTTCTCATCAAATCCTTCCCGCCTTTAGCTAAGTTCAATGACTGGGTGACTGGGTGTCTGGGTGTATTATTACCATAATTCATAATTAGCTTACATCATTCTCTTTTTGCTGTAATTTATTTTGAACTTCAGTCCCACAGACTGAAGGGACTGAATCATGCAGGTTTCTGGCCCTTGAGTGATTTTCGATTCGTCTGGTTTTAGTGTTTCTGTTTTTAAAACACATCCGCTGTTCGTTTTAACATGTCTATAAATATTTAGCTGAGTCGCGGCCTGAAACACGGAGGTATAATAAACATGTTGCAGGTCTCCTCTGTAACACTTCACTGCAGAGTTTAATGTATTTTCTGCAGTAAAATGAAACTTAATTTCACTTTTTCACATATGGACAATAATGTTAGAGGTTAAAAGGGAATAAAATGTTTTTTATGTGTTTAATGGGAATACTTTGTTAGAAAACATGATGGTTCATTGTTCAAAGTCATATTTTCATTGTGTTGTTCATTCATTTTTACATGCTGCAGTTTCAAACAAAATGTTTGGTGAGCGAGCCAAATACTTAGTTTGAGGCTTAATATTTAGCTTTCTAGACAGCTAAATAACTTGTTAAAAGCTAAGTATTTATTTTGAAATTGTGACATTTATAACTGTAAACCATAGTGAAAATATACATTTTTAAAAATGACCCCATTTTTTCTCTTGTGACAGACTAAATAACCAAAGTTATTGCTGTTAAATAAATGAAGTCTGAAGCTGTTTTTATTTTATTGACGATAATTCAGATTTCTGCTCCTGGAGTCACAGTGTAGGTGTGAATGATGTGTTTTAGGTGAGAGCGGTGCAGGAAAGACAGAAGCCAGTAAATACATCATGCAGTACATCGCAGCCATCACAAACCCCAGCCAGAGGGCAGAGGTCGAGAGGTCAGCCTGAGAACTAAACCATTTATTCTGATTGTTTTCATCGTTTAAGGCTGAATTTCTCTCCTAATTTTCCTGAATGCCTCCTGTTTTGTGGCGGCTCAGCGTGAAAAACGTTCTGCTGAAGTCCAACTGCGTTCTGGAGGCCTTCGGGAACGCCAAGACGAACCGCAACGACAACTCCAGCCGCTTCGGGAAGTACATGGACATCAACTTTAACTTCAACGGCGACCCGACCGGAGGACACATCAACAACTACCTGCTGGAGAAGGTCATTATTTTCGATATTTAAAATCTCACCAGCTCCAGGGTGAAATGGATGTCAGAATTTAAAGTTTATTGATCTTTGAGAATTTGTTCTTGTACATTTACCGTTATATTACTTGAAAATGGTCTCAAAACAACATTATTATCATTTATTGCAATAACTTCTGAGACTATTTATCATGCAGTAAAGCTTGTTACTATAACAGGTTTATTTGTGTCGCCCATTTCAAAAAGCGAATATAGGTTTGAAATATTATAAGATTTATTTCTCGCAGTTTTGGTGATTCGGCTCACAGAAAATGAAAACCCAACATTCAATGGTCTCATGTTCATAGAAAGTTGGGTGGAAGGAAAAAGGTGCTTAATTTTGCGTAGAATTATCTAACAAAATGATTGAGACGTTCCGGTACGTTTTCTCCAACTTGTTCATGATATTATAATGTTTTATCCATACTTGCTTAGATTTGAAGAAATGATATGTGAGAGAACAGCCATTAATAAACGTGTGAGTGACATCGTCAGGCTGATGCTGGGTGTTAATTAGCTCATCTGAGGGCAAAAAAAGAAGCTGCTGCAGCTGAAAAGACGAAAAAACCTTCTGGCTGAGAGCAGCTGTGAATGTTGCTGTTTTACTGTGAGAAAGCAGAAATAAAAGCCGTCATCTCACCAGGAGGTTCAGCTTCAGGGATCAACAGGGAATTATCTCCTGCTACATCATTTACAGTCAGTCCTGAAAATCAGAACTTAGATTTTTGTTTTTCAGGGATAATCTCTGATTTTATAGACTTGAAAATGAGTTATCTACTTTTCAGAAAGCTGGTTTGACTGTTTGGAGTTTTGCCTTTTGTCCTTCTTTGCTTAAAGATGCAATTGACTCTAACATTTAATGTTTTTAAATTATTTTTGTAAATTTAATAAAACATAAAAACATAAAGATCTTCTTTGATGTAATAATAGAAAAACATGCAGAAATTATGATTTTCAAAAGCAAAACCTACACATGAGAGTAGGCATGTCATGATGAGTTTGCTGAACCATAAATATATTATAACCATATTATGTTGTATATAAGAGTTACAGGAAAGCTCAAAAACATTCCTAATATTTGGTGAAGCCTCACATTTTAGTTACTCTAAGTGGCAGTTAGCTGGTTTCATTGGAGTTAACCAGCATGGTGGTGGCAGCATCATGAGGCTTTTTCTGCCGTTTGTGCTGGTAAACTGGAAAAACTGAATGGCAGCCATCTTTGTTTTCCTGTTTCCAGTCCAGGGTGGTGCAGCAGCAGGAGGGGGAGAGGAACTTCCACTCTTTCTACCAGGTAAACTTTGTGATTTAAATTCCTCTGACTGAGCAGAGAATATTTCCTGCTACATTTTGGATCACAGCAAATGAATCTGCGTTTCTGCAGCTGCTGCGCGGAGGCTGCGAGGAAACCCTGAAGTCGCTTCACCTGCAGAATGACGCTGCACTTTACACGTACACCAGAGAGGGCGCTGCAGCTGCTGTGAGTTTATCTGATGACAGAAAACTACAGGATGCCGTTTGTAAAATTACACAGTGAAAACTTAACAGCAAGCTAAATATTTAGCTTCAAGCTAAATATTAAACTCTGACCTACCTGGGTTTTGCTAGTTAGTTAGCGCTGAATAGTTAGCTTGCTATCTAAATATTTAGTTTGACACTGGCATTTATCAAATTATTGCTGTTAATTTGTCACTGTGTAATTTTACACATAGCATCCCACAGTAAACACCACTAAACAAGCATCTCGGGTACCTTTTTGACCTTTGACCTTTGTTTTCTGTTACAGACTTCCAACAACGATCGCTCGAGCCACAAAGCGGTGATGAGCGCCCTGGAAGTGATCGGCTTCTCTAAAGAAGAGATCACCTCCATCTACCGGATCCTCGCTGCCATTTTACTTTTGGTTTGTGGAAATAAAAAAGTGTTTTGTTTTGTTTGTCCTTTTTGTTTTATTTATTGGTAAATGTTTTTTTTTTCTTTTTAAGAAATGAAAAATCACAGGAACAGAGATGCTGATTTCACTGAGTAAATGTTATTTTAAAGGATCGAAAAGGTTATTCAACAGTTCAGGAAGTGATTTGTTGGCACAGACCTTTCACTCATGGTTTCAGTTTTATAATTATTGAGTTTAGCTGCTAATTTTACATAATTAACCACAGTACAACTCTGGTCAGAAAGCAAACAGCTTAAAATCAGTATCTGTTACTGATACAGAATAAACATTGTTTGCTGCAACACAGCCTGGGTGGAGAAACTGAATAGAGGAAATAGAACTGCTTCAAAATAAGAGCATAAATTTTAACTACAAAATTGTTTGATAGAATTTGATTACATATAGTTTTTGTTTATAATAATAATAATTCTTATTATTATTATAAACAAAAACTATATGTAATCAAATAATAACAATAATAATAATAATAATAATATATTATTATTATTATAATAATATATTATTATAATAATATATTATTATTATTAATAATAATAATAATAATAATAATATATTATTATTATTATTTAGAAATAACAGTCATGACCACACTTGTTACCAGTAGGTGGCGGTAATGAACATCTTAAGTTTCTTGCCAACCGCCAAAAAAAAAAAAAAAGGAACAGCAGAAGAAGAAAGTAACTATTGGAAGAATTGTTAACAGTAGAAAACAAAAATTTCAACAAAGATGTCAAACTTCATTCAACTGAACGTTTACAAAACAGGCAAGTTATTTGGCGCTTTGGAATTTATCCGGAAAGATGAATTTAGTGGAAGCTAAGTGTGCTAAACGTTAGCATAGCAAAACCGCTGCTAGCGCATCAGAGTGCCCTCCTCTACTGCGCTTATAGATGCATAATAAGTGTTTTAAAATTGGCAGCTATACGTGTTTTTGGAGGAAGCCTGAACTATTGGTGGGTTTTAGATATTTGTTGCCAGAGTTGGGTAGTAACTACTTACATTTACTTGAGTAACTTCTTTGAAAAAACATACTTTTAAGAGTATTGGGGGGAAAAACAAATTTTTCTTTTGCCTGATTTTATTTTTTGTTGCTAATATGAATTTTTGTCATTTTCGTCCATAAAGTATTTAATTTCTTCACTTAACTTTACAGCTTGGTTGATTTGATGATGTAATCTTTAAATGATTGATAATTTGATCAGCTACTTGGTTACTGATCAAATACCTGAGCAGACTTTTTACCAAATACTTTATTACTCTAACTCTTGTAATTCATTGGATGGCTACTTTTTATTTTTGCTTGAAGTATTTCTACTTTTCAGTAACGTTTTTGGGTTCTCTCTCTTGTTTCTGTGTTTCCATATGAAAATGTTCTGTTGCTTCCTGTAACTTCCTCCAGAATCATAATGTTCCCGTTTCCGTTCGTGTTTTCAGGGTAACGTGGAGTTTGGGAGCGAAGGCGAAAGCGTTCAGATCCTGGGTCAGGATACGGTGAACCACATCTCGGAGCTGACCACCACAGATCCCGAATCCGTTGCCAAGGGCCTGCTTTTCCGAACCGTGGCAACTGGCGGCGGTGAGGTCATCGAGAAAGGTCACACGGAGAAGGACGCCTGCTTCGGCCGGGACGCCTTCGCCAAGGTGAAGCTGTCATGATAGGAAAGGAGAGGAAGAAATGCTGCAGGTGATAACATTGAGATCGACTTCATTTTGATTCTTCAGGCGCTTTATGAAAGGCTTTTCGGCTGGATCGTGAGCCGCATCAACAGCATCATCGAGGTGAAAAACTACAACCCAGTGCTTCATGGGAAAAACACAGTCATAGGTGTGCTGGACATCTACGGCTTTGAGATCTTTGACAACAACAGGTTTGTGTCCGTTGGTAGTTTTTTAAAACTCAGAAACGATTCGTTTTGTGTTTTTTTTTAACGTTTTTGTTCCTGTGTTGTTTGGCCAGCTTCGAGCAGTTCTGCATCAACTACTGCAACGAGAAGCTGCAGCAGCTTTTCATCGAGCTGATCCTCCAGCAGGAACAGGAAGAATATCAGAGGGAAGGAATCACCTGGCAGCATGTGAGGAACACACATGCACACACACACACATGCACGCACACACATGCATGCACACACACATGCACGCATGCACACACACATGCACGCATGCACGCACACACACACACACATACACATGCATGCACGCACACACTTTAGTAATAATCCTATTACTAAAGTGGATTAGCTAAATGCTGCTTTATATACAAATAATGCACATTATTAGCAGGAACAAACAAAAATATCTGTTTGTTCCTGTTCTACTGAAAACCTCAGCTCAGGCCTGTCCAAATAAAAATATTTTATTTTTATTTTGTGTTTTCTTGCTCAACAATTAAAGGTGTGTTTAACTGCCAGAGCTTGGAAACAAGTTTAAAGGACTCAAAAGGCCCAGAATGTTTTTTTTTTTTTTTACTAAAATTGTGAAACCTGTTTTATTTTTCATGTTTTCTTCCTCAACAATTACAGAAGTGTTTTAATGCCAGTGCTAGGAATTATAATTAGAAAATTTCTTGTTAAAACGTGAAACAAAACATGTTACTAAAGAAAGTTTCTGGTTTTAAAGCTACAGATCATGACTTGTTGAAAAGGCTTAAATGAACCGTGACTCTCAGTGTCACCGTTTCTTCTAAACATTTTTCTGCTTTTCTCTTACGACCTTTCTTATTTACAAAAGAAGATTTAGGTTTTAGTGAGACATGAATCTCATTATAATGAAAAAGTTTTCTCGCTTAAATTAGATTCAGCAGAAAACTAAATTTCTGGTCATGAATTAATGATTTAGATCATGCAGTTTGTTTTCTGAAATCACCTTTTAGCTCGTTTTAGCCGCCTGCAGACGACTAAAACACTAAAACATGTTCACAGCAACTCAGACTAATCCTCCATCTTTGTTTTTATTTCATTTCCAGATCGATTACTTCAACAACCAGATCATCGTTGACCTGGTGGAGCAGCAGCACAAAGGAATCCTGTCCATCCTGGACGAAGCTTGTCTCACTGTGGGAAAAGTGACGGACACGGTCTGCCTGGACAGCATGGACACCAAGCTGGCTCAGCATCCTCACTACACGTCCCGCAAGGTGGGCCTGTTTCCTGCTCAGCAGCCTCACCACCAGAAAACCGTTTAAGGTCTCTAAGTCAGACCTTTCAAAGACATTCTGGACGGGACTAGTTTGAAAAAACAAAAGACTTTTAAAAGGAAACAGATGTGACCTTATCGGCTTGACTCAACAGGAAGTGATGTAGAAACGTCCTCTGACTGACAGTAACTCTGGGGAACAATCCTATTGCTAAAGTGGATTAGCTAAATGCTGCTTTATATGCAAATAATGCACATTATTAGCAGAAATGAGGCATAAAGAAAGAAACAATGCAAGTTTTATGACTTTAATTGTATAACAAACATATTTAGTTCTTAATAGGTGGTAAGTAAAACACAGCATTCATGACAAACTGGTTAAATTAGAGTTATTAAGTGACGGCTGTATTATAATGCTGGTTAATTTTTAATTAATAGATTAAAACAAAGGAGTTGCAGTTTAGGCTTCAGCCAGCAGAGGGCGGTAGCGCCTTTCTCTGATTTTCTTCCTATGAGAGCATGAAAACAAATCAAACTCTCTGAGATGTGGAAATGACTCCATGAATCAGGATGAAGTGAGACAGGAACTAAATTTTACCTTCTCCGGTTTTCTTCTTTTGATTCCCAGCTCAGCCCCACGGATAAAACCATGGACTTCCAGAAACATTTCCGCATCCGCCACTACGCCGGAGACGTCACGTGAGTCGCTCGCATCTCCATCCACATGAAAACATGACGCAAAGCTCATGTTTTTAAAGTTTTATTCTTCCTTTTGGATCTCAATTCCTTCTAAAGAGATTCCAAGCCCTTAAAAAAACATATTTTTGGGCGATAGGTTCATGACTTTTGGTGTCTGGAAAATGAGCCGTTTCAAAAACCTCCCAGTAAGTCACATTTGGCTGGAACTGCGGCGTTCTTGTTAAATTACAACTTTATTCTCCTAATATTATGACTTTATTCCCATAATTATAAAGAAAAATGTAGCCTTGTATTGGTCCTGAATTCAGAGTCCAAATAAATAGGACAAGATGGCCGCCCTGAGCGCGCCGACGTCACCAACTACAGAAACCAAAGGAGCACATTGGTGAAAAAAAATCCAGATTTTTCCAAAAATATAATCAAAAATTGGATTAATGTGATTTATCACTCAGATCTATGGGTAACAATGTTATTACAAGTTTCATCAGTTCAGCTGAATATTTTCCTGATATTTTGCTAATAATTTAAAGCTAAATACTGTCCTTTCCACAAGTGTCGGGAATGTCTAAACAATACTTAATCGATATGTTCTGATTGAAAATGTTAAATTAATCATTGCATCATCTGGAAAACATTAGGAAGCTAATATGTAACGTTCTGCTAATACATGAACAATAAGCTGCGTTCTGTTGTAGTTGGAGCCCAAGAGGAGCAACCAATAATGTTTACAGATTAGATATGAAAGTTGCTTGTATATATTTTACTCTGAGTTATGATTCAGGGATTGAAACTGCTTGTTCTTCATCGCTGCTCCTCTTCCTCCTGGCCAGCAGTCACCCTACATGGCTTTGCTTTCTGAAGAGCTCACGTGTACTGCCCTACATCGACCAAGGGGAAGGACATTAATATGTCAAGGGAGCACGAGGAAGAGGAGGAGGAGGAGGGATGGAGCTGATAAGACAGTTTAGTCTGAGAGGCAGCAGCAGTAATCACCGCTTCCAGTCTGGTGGGGGGTCTTTAAATCTGGGAAATCCAAATAAGTCCCAGAAACAGATGCTGCTTTGTTTATGTTTACCACAAGACGCTGAGCTGAAAACGTAAAAGTAGCTAAATAACTTCATGCTAAATTGATCATTAATCCAGCCTCATCCTGGCACAAAAACAGTTTCACAGTTTCAGTTTCACAGTTTCAGTTTTTGTGCCAGGATGAGGCTGGATAAATGATCAATCCATCCCAGATATTTATTTACATTTATTTTATGATTCAACGATAAAAATGTTCCAAAATCTGAAGCTTATTTTTGTTTTCATTTGCTGTTTTTCAGCTTTGGCTGCATTGACTCTGCAGACAATGACAGTTTAACATATCCAGCCTCAGATCTGCGTGTTTAAAAGCAGCGCAGCAACCTGTTCTGTAAAGTAGATTATATTTAGCCAACAATTTTAGATCTTCTTAGAAACATAAATTGACTTTTTTTTTGCATCTGAGCAATAAGTAGTCTTACCCTTGTGACTGCAGACCCAGGAAATGCAATTCTGAGTTTAATTAAACGCTAAATGTGTCACAAAATGTGTGGAAATAAACAGAGGGACAGCGTGTTCGTGTCTGAATGGGATTCAAACGGTTCCAGGAAATTAGTTTTCAAAACAACCAAATAAATTTACGTTTAGAACGTATCTGGAAATTTAATTTAGAGGAAGCAAAGGACGAAAAACATTTTCAAAGTTGACAAAGACAATAAAGCTCTAATCTCAAACATTAGCTCCGCTAACTTTAAAGTGCTACAACAACATGGTATTTAGCTAAAGCTACAGTGCTAACTTCAACCATGTCAAACTGGACATGGTTGAAGTTAGCACCAAAAAATTAAAATAGAGAAATGTAAGTGAGCTAAACATCTTCAAACTTGGCAAAACGCTAAAACGCTGATCTCAAGCATCAGTTAGGCTAACGCGCTGCAGCGTTATTATGGCCGGCGCCGTTATCGCGTCTGGGCGGCGTTATCGCGGCTGGGCGGCGTTATCGCGGCTGGGCGGCGTTATCGCGGCCGGCGGTGATATTATGGCCGGCGGCGTTATCGCGGCTGGGCGGTGTTATCGCGGCCGGCGGCGTTATCGCGGCTGGGCGGCGTTATCGTGGCTGGGCGGCGTTATCGCGGCCGGCGGCGTTATCGTGGCTGGGCGGCGTTATCGCGGCTGGGCGGCGTTATCTCGGCCGGCGGCGTTATCGTGGCCGGTGGCGTTATCTCGGCCGGCGGCGTTATCGCGGCCGGCGGCGTTATCGTGGCTCCTCCTTGTGAACACGGCCTCGCCGGTGCGCATGAAGGCGTGCAGCGTGATGACAGACGGCTCCGTGTCACCGCGCGTTGCCGTCAGCCGGCCTCGGCCGTCTCTGGGCCGCATCGGGTCCTCTCCAGCTGAGCTGTCATCTTTCGGCATCGCTCCCTGTCTCATCCCATCCCGTCCCAGCCGATCCTCGCTGCGGCTAAATATACCCGTGTCCTCGCCACCCGCTGCCCCTCCCCTCGTCTGTCACCAAACGCCATCATCAAAAGCTTTGACCTACTTTACTCTCCTGCTCTTCCTCTGTTTCTGCGCCCCTCACCTGGCTCGCCTCCTCTTTCTTTTCGCCTGTATGCGGAGCGCTGAGCAGAGATATCCCACCTCTCCTGCTCCCTCTCTGCAGCCTCCATCCTCTGACTCATCCTGTTTTTTCTGGAGGCTTCACCTTGTCCCCTCCCTGTTGTTGTTGTTCTGTCTTTTCCTCCCAGGTGGCTCTAAACGTTCCTGAGCCGAAAGGAAACATCTGCACAGAGCGTGCAGACGACCTGAGCTTGTAGAGGAAGACCAATAAGTCAAATTAATTTAGCATTCATGAAGCTGGCTGTAATCCTGTCACCATAAATCAATTGATCGCACGATAAATTTAAACTAACTTAAACATTTTCATTTGTCTGATTTATCATTTTTCTCTTTCTACTGAAAACTGGATAAAAGTCTTCAGTCTCAATTTGCCATTTTTTACAGACAATTTTATTTACAGTCTTAATAATTAATTTTATGTGTTGATCCTGTTTTGTTTAGTGTTGAATGTTTATTAGAATTTAAACTAGTTAATTGATCTGAGAAAGTCTTCTTGCTTTATTACTGTTATATTACAACAATATTACAGCAGATTGAATTCTGAGTCTCTAATCTCCTGAACTTGTTGCAGTTTTTCTGTCTCATTTCTTTCTTTCTGTGTTGCAGATATTCTGTTGAGGGTTTTCTGGATAAAAACAAGGACCTCCTCTTCCAGGACTTCAAGCGTCTCATGTACAACAGGTACATCAAAAGTACTCATGGTCACAAAAATACCATTTTCAAACACTAAAATCACAAAAAAATAGTTTTTTCTTACCTGCTCAGCAATAAACTAAGCACAAGCTATTTTAATTAAAGAAATAATCAGATTTTTTTTGTAGGAATTGGATTGCAGAGACAAAAAATTAAATGTTTTTGCAAGTTTTCTTAGTTAAATAAACAAACATCCAGTTTGCTTATGACTGAAAAACATATTTCATCTGTTCTCTGCAATAAAAATAGCATCTGGGTCAGAAAACACTTCCTGCATTTAGCCAAAAGCAGGTTTGGCTGCATCACTGTGGACTTTAGAGCCAGGATGTCCAAAGTGTGGCCCGGGGGCCATTTGTGGCCCTCTGGATGATTCTACTTGGCCCAACAATTCAAGAATGCAACAAATCTGCAACTGTTTCGAGGTTTATACAGATTAATAAAATCTTATTGAACATTTAATTGGGTACAAGACAAAGTGCTTTTATTTTATTACCAATGTTTCCAGTTACCATGACAACAGGAGGAAACCAGAAAGTTTGTAAAAGTGAAGTAATTTTTGATTTAAAACTTGTGGTTTTGTGGTTGTGAGGCTGCAAAACATCAGCCGAGGGTCAACAAACGGCCCCTGACCCCCACTTTGGACCTCGCTGCTCTGGCCAGTCCAGTAACTCGGTTAGCTGAATAAATGTCTCATTTTTTAGCCCAGTTTTGTTGGTTTCACTTTTTTCTCTCTCTCTGACAGTTCGAATCCAGTCCTGAAGGAAATGTGGCCAGATGGTCAGCTGAGCATCACAGAGGTCACCAAGCGACCTTTGACCGCTGCGACACTTTTCAAAAACTCCATCGTGGCTTTGGTCGATAAGTTGGCCTGCAAGGTCAGTCCTGAGAGCGAAGGCGGCGCAGAAAGAGGCGCCAGAGAAAAACCTCTCTGTAAAGATGGAATATTTGGGTCTCATGTTATTGCAGCTTTTTTCTCTTGCGTCTTTTTTCTTGCTGTTTTATGACTTTATTCTTATAACTGTAAAACTTTTGTTTAGTTTTTCTGCCTGGCTCGTATATATTTTAGAAATTTTGAATTCCTGTTGAATGTTTGCTTTGCTCATTCAGTCATATTTTTTCATGAAGCCGAGCTGAGAACGTGTTTAACATTCCCTGAACATAGATCTGCAGCAGCCAGACGTCAAAACTCCTCCTGGTGTTTGACAGGAACCTTTTTCTGACTTGTTTCCTCCTGGCTGAGGGGAGGGGGAAGCGTGTTGCACAGAGCGGGGCGCTCGCCTCTCCTGGCTGAACCCGTCTGACGGCCTGAAGTCTGACACTTCCTGCTGTTATTCTGGGCCGCGCTGCAGTCGGGCTGCTGCAGCATCTGCCTCCATGTTTCTGAGCTGGAAAATAAAAGAAACTCCACCTTTATTTTTGATCCAGGTCAGGTTGGGGGAACGCGTTGCTCTGTCGGATCGTTTCCTCCACTTTGGTTGATCTCTTTATTTTCGTCTTGTGAGTGTTGTGCAGTTTGATGCTTTGCTAACTGAGCTGCATGTGAGACGAGGCTCAGCTGCAGCATCTGATGCAGGTCAGTGCACTCGGCCTGAGCCTCGCTGCGTCTTCAGTTTATTCATGGGCAACAGCAGGGATGAATGCAGAGACAGTCCAGCTGGAGGTTCTGACAGGTGAAGGGATCGGGCAGCACCGGATGATGGTTGCAGCTCTGTCTGTATATAAACATAAAAACATGTTTCATGTTCACAAAAATGCTGCACAATTCAATGAAATAAAGCAAGGTAACAATAATTAGAACAAAAAGGTCAAAACAAAATACAGTTGTCCTCCATAACTGTTATTATGAAAGAAACTGTTTGAATCAAATCCTGAAGAATAAAAATTAGTCATATTGACCTGATATGATGTCAGCCAAACTATGTTATTACTTATGTTGTAGTATGGAATGTTAGAAAAGGCTTGATTAAGTGATTTTATTCATGAAGAGAACAATAGTCAACAAGTTTCAGCGTGACGTCCCGTCCTGAGCACAAGCGCTTAATAACCCCCCCCCCCCCTGTTTTTCACCGCTGTGTGTGCTGCACAATGACTGCTGGAGTTTTGTTGTTGACTTTCCACCCAGAAACCTCTCCCTGAATTCTTGCTGGTTGTGCAGGAGGCTCCCCTTTTGCTTTTCAGAGATCTACAGTTGTATAATTGCAGCAGCTTGTTTGGATTTAAAGTGACGGAGGCAGAACTGAGCAGACCAAAATCTGATTATCTCGGGATGATTTTGTGCTAAAAGGTAGTGAACATGTTTTGGATAGGCCGCAGTGGACTCTTCCTAACCTGTTCAGGGAAGCATCACAGGTAACCTGTAGAGTCACTAACAGTTTGTGTTTTGTTTCTAAGGAGCCGTACTACGTGCGATGCATAAAACCCAACGAGATGAAGTCTCCGGTGCTGTTCGACGACGCGCGCTGCCAGCACCAGGTGGCGTACCTGGGTCTGCTGGAGAACGTGATGGTCCGCCGGGCCGGCTTCGCCTACAGGCAGCAGTACCCTCGCTTCCTGCAGCGGTAAGGCGGCTGCAGCGCTGCGTGAGGTCGGACCGTCGGCTCCTCCTTCCTCTGGGAGGAAGCTTTAACTTGTAATAGAGGGGCTGCGGCTCTGGATGAGCTCAGGCTTTAGAGCAGGGGTGTCAAACTCGATTTCACCGAGGGCCACTTCAGCATATTGGCCCCCCTCAACGGGCCACATTGACGGTACAGATCAGGAGGGCATCCCTGCTAAAACACAGACAAAAGGTTGACTTCCCTCATTCAGAGGCTTATTATGAGTCAATGGTCCAGGTGTGTTAGAGAAGGAACCATCTAAAGCTGCAGATGGTCTGGAAAACTAGATTTGGGCACCTCTAGCATAAATGTATAAAAATACAATGTTAAAAATAAATTAAACACCACCTCATATTGTTAAATAACTGATTTTATGTATTGAAGTTTTAAATATTACATTTGAGTTTCCATGGATGTAAAATTACTGCTCAGTTTAAAAATTACAATATTTAAATCAGTGTTTAAATATTTAAAAGGTAAGAAAACAAATGATAAAAACAAGTCATATGGGCAGACATGATAGACTTTATGCAAAGATGGCCTTGAGTTTGACACATGTGCATTACGCCATAGAACTGCCAATTAGTATGAACCATCACAAAAGAGGAAGGCTCTTGTTGTCTCACTGCACCCCAAGAGATGCAAAACCTACAAAAACTGTTTCTGTCTGGTTTCGAACCAGAGACCTTTTGCATGTAAAGCAAACGTGATAACCACTACACTACAGGAACTGAACTTCTCTGCTTTGTTTCAGTTTGAGGTTCCAAAGTTGATGATGTGAGATGCAACACATGAAAACATCAACTCAGGTTTGCACTTGGATGCCTGGATTCAGAGTACAGACCATGACACCACAGAGTAATGTTGGCCTTTAGTAAACACCTGTGATGAATAGAAAAAACTAAATCTGTTTCTGTCTGGTTTCGAACCAGAGACCTTTTGCATGTAAAGCAAACGTGATAACCACTACACTACAGGAACTGAACTTCTCTGCTTTGTTTCAGTTTGAGGTTCCAAAGTTGATGATGTGAGATGCAACACATGAAAACATCAACTCAGGTTTGCACT